AAAAAAAAAAAAAAAAAAAAAAAAAAAAAAAGAATTTTTACATCACTTTAAAAGGTTTTTCTACTTTATAATCCTTTTTTTTTTTTTTATTTTGCAGTAACTGTTATTTGCAAATTATTTTACTTTTTCGTTTTCCTTCTTTTCTCTTGTTTTTACTTTTAAAAACTTCACTGAACAACTAATTTATCTAAATTTGTATACCTCCTTTAAAAAAAGTTTAGTTTTTTATTCCAAAACAGAACTGCCGTTGTTTCTGCGTCTGCTTTTACTTCTGCTGTCTCAACCAACTAAAATTTCAGCTGATTTTCATCAAAAAATAAAATTTATCCTTACTTTTTTAATTTTCTAAAAAAAAATGAATTTAGAGCATTACAATACAATAAAAATGTTTTAAAAATAAGGAGGTAAAAAAAAAGTCAGTGGTGAAATTCAAAAGTTTATGCAAACAAGAAAATTTTTTTCTTTTTACCGTACTCTTTTTTTTTTGCAAATTGGCAACTGTCGTATCACAGTGAAAGGTTAAAAATTGGCAAATAACCACCACATATTTGGCAATAAAATAAGTTTGGCTAAACAATTTTATTTGCTACTACTCAACAGTTTACAGTGAATCATTCAGGTTTAATCTTTTATCTTTTCTTATATCTTATCTCAACTAAACTAACAGTATGGCCTTAAAAAAAAATGTGATGTAAAAAAATATTCTTTATCTTTGTTGTTACAATAATTTTGGCATATATTACTGAATCTTTTATTAGTTATGCCTAATATAGTTGTACATAAATTTTCTGAATAAAGCTTAGCTGTTTTCAATTGATAGCAATAAATATATTGATATATAATAAACACTAAGCTATACAAATTGTAACAAAACCTTTAGTTGACGGATAATTGAAATTTCTTTTATGTCACTTAATTTTTTGCCTCTTTTCTTTGCTTTACTTCTTTTTTTTTTTCGGTAAATTATACAACTACCTGTTTTACAGAGCTTATTAAGCTTAATTTCCACAATTTGCTTTCGTAACTTTTAATGCTCTTTTTTTTCGCCATTTGTAAAAATTTTCTTGAACACAAAAGAAACAACGCTGCTTGAAATGCCAAAAGTTAGTCTATAAAAGAGTAAATTTAAGGTGTAATGCTTTCTGGCAATGATATGTTTATCAAGTTTACTGAATAAAACATCTACTAAATTTTCTAATGCTTATCACGGTATTTCCTAATTAAAAGTGTGAGAAAAGCCAGATTTTTTAAATTTATTTACCTTTTAAAACTTACTTATCAAGTTTTTTTTTTTTCACCAAAACTTCAAAATGCAAACAACAAGTGGTTGTTAACGTTTTTTGGTAGAAGAAGTATCAAAGTGTTGAGAAATATCAACTTTTGTCAACAGACAAGCACCTTATTAATTGTTGTGCACCTTTTTTAATGACTATAATTTATCAAAAAATCCCAGTTTTGCTAATTTCTATTGGAACTTTATACCGCAGTTTTTTTGTTCGCTTTTTTGCTGCAAACTTTTTACTGATTACTTATAGTTAAATTAAGTGCCTTTGATGACTTTTTTTGGGAAAAATTAAAAAACTTGGAACTTTACTCAATTTTTTTTATGGCCATTATTTTATGTGTAAATCTTGAAATGACTGACAAATGAAAAGGTTTTTTTTGGTGAGAAAAATGAGGTTAAATGCAGCATTCTTCAATAACTGTAATCAATGGAAATATCAATGCATAAACTGTTTTGAACACACTTTTTATAGCCTTAAAATTTCATTTTCTGTATTCGAATAACAGTACTTTGTTGAATAAGTTTTTTTTTTTTCTGAATTATTGTACGACGATGAATAGCTCGGAAAAATTTGGGGTTTCGTTTCTATTTTGTAAATTTTTCATAACACAACAGATTAAGTGACTGACTGCAGTCGTAGTAACATAAAAAATGTCAGTAGTAGAAAAGTTGAGAAAATATAAAAGGTAGGAATTATTTGGATGAAAATTTTTCTGAAAATATAAGAAAGACAAAGCAATATACTTTTACTTTTATAAACTCGGTAAATTAATGAAAAGTAAAGTGAAGAACAGTAAAAAACGTCATCAGAAATTCTGAACTTGTTATTGAGTGACTACTAAAAATTAATCAAAAGAAAAATTAAACAATTTTTTTTAATTCAAAATTATTTTTTACATTTTTTTCTTTGATACTTATACTATTATTGTTAAACAGTTGCTAAATTAGATGCTTTTTTTAAGCCTTAATATTGCCTAATCAAAATTTTTTATTACTAGAAAAGATCGACCTGTTAAAGACTAATAAGAAAACTTTGTTCTTTAGTCCTTATTAATTCAATAACTTTCTTGTACGTTTCTCAGGAAGCCTTCAGCTCAGTGTACTGCTACTGTAGCTATACACCTCATTTGGTACTCATAAAATTCTTTTATTTTATCATACTAAATTGCTAGCTTTTTGTCTACTTTATAAGCACATAAATTTTGAACTACCTAAAGAAGAAAAACTGTTCTGAGTTCTTGAATTTTTGTTTATTTTTCAGTTTCGGTGAATAAAATTTTGCGAACTTCTGCCGATATGGTAACTGTCAGTCTAGCGGAATGTGCAGTCATATCGCCCAGTTATGCTTTAGTGAAAGAAAAACGGTTATGAAAACAGGGGAACTATCTAAAGCTCAATTCCTGGTAAATTTTTCAGCAGTTATACAGTGAAAGCTAACGACAACAGTTTAGATTCCCCATTTTAAAACAGTGATAAAATTATTATTTGCTAAAGCTATAAGTTTTCATTTCTCATTCCCTACTTTTATTAGGGTTTATTTTCTTTGGTTAAAGATCTTTAGCAATTTAATTTATATTTCTTCAATTCCTCTTCCAATTTTTTGTTTTTACTCCTTTTCTGGTCTTTTGTTCTAATTTTTTTGTAATTTTGCATTTCTTAAACATTAACCAAGTCATCTGTGACATTAGAATTAGTATGAACAGAATTGAAAATTTCAATAAACAATACTGTTGTAAAAAACTGAGTTCAATATATAAAGCTGGTAATAATACATAGTTATTTCAGCTTGCAAAATGACTTTGCTTTATGTTTTTAACGCATAACTGTACAGCGTAATATTGGCGAAAATATTTTAGCAAATTCAACAAAGTTACAGCGTGGCAGAAAACTATTCCTTGTGATTGTACAGATTGCAAGCTTATTAAACTATAACTCTTTTCGTCAGGCGTAAATAAGTTTTTAAGTACTGTTGATTGCAAATCAACAGCTATTATAGTAGGCTGTAGAACCTCTAAAGAGATAACTGTAAAATATTATCAAAATTTGACAATTTAATTCATTGCGAGGTTCAAGCTGTTTGCATGAAGTGAAAGCATGTGATTTTAAAGTCAATTATAAACCTTATCTGCGCAGCTTTTGCGGTCAATCAAAGAGCCATCAAACTTTTAATTATTTTTATTTTATCAACGTTTTACTGCAAATATCATAGAGGTATCACTTGTGAAAAATTTTTAATTGAAACTAGTAGATGCTTTTTCAGACAAAAATATTTTCTTTCTCAACAAATGTGTAAAGAAGTGTTGAACTAACTTATTAATTTTCATTAAACGTGGCGGATATGCGGAGAATATTATGGCAACTGTTTCATTAAAAAAAATGAAAAAAGGAAAAAAAATAAGATTTTCCAATTCAGGTCTTTCATGGTTGATCATAAAAAATAATGACGATTCATTACAACCATGCCTTGTCAACAGCTACTTATGCTTCGTTATTGCGGATGGCTGTCCGCTGGAAAGGTAGCTTATGGAAAACGGTTTATCAAGATCTGTTCATTTGGTGTATTCTTTATGCTCTAATCTCTGTTACGTATCGATGTTGGCTTAATGAATCTCAGAGACGGTAAGCATACTAACCACAACAAGTTTTGCAGACTTTAATACATTAAGTCAATGTTTCTTCTAAATTTAGTCAAACCGCCTTTCTTCTACTATGTAAATTTGAAGTACTGCATAATCAAAATTATTGCAGGACCTTCGAAAGAGTGGTAAAAACAATGCAAGATTTTGAAAACTTTTTTCCGCTGACCTTTATGTTGGGTTTCTATGTCACTTTAGTCTGTGGACGATGGTGGTCAATGATTATGAGTATTGGCCTTATTGATAAGTTCGTGCTTTGTTCTTTTTTCAACTTTTCTAGACTACATCTTTTTTATGCATGGCTTTTTGCTTGTATTTTCTACAATAAAAGGTTTATCAAAACATTTCCTGGATTTTTTCATAAAATTCATAAATTAAATTTTTTTATTTAAAAATTTATCTTTTAATTAATTGTACAGTAGAAGATAATACTTTCAACTTGTTTTCTTAGTTTCTTTTTTTAGCTTAGCACTAACAGTGGCAAACTATATGAGAGGATTGGATCAGCGTACGATTCGATATAAACGAGCAATTGTACGATACATGTGTTTGTTACAAGTGATGGTTTATCGATCTGTTAGCACATCTTGTAAGAAGAAATATCCAACCCTAAAAAGTATTGCTGATGCTGGTCAGCTTTTTTTTTGTTGTTCTTTTCCTAATGCCTCAATTTCTGCCTGTCTCCACCCTCATTTTGAAGGTGGTTATCGTCAAAATTTTGTTAATTCAAAAAAATAAAACTTGAAAAAAAAAATTCTGGTAAGTTTTAATAATTCAAAATGTCTTTAGCACTGAAAAATTGTGAAACAGTAGCACGTTATATCTTAGAAAAAAAAAATGTGAAAAAAATATAATCTACGTAGAGTAATAATGTAATATGTTCTTTGCATTTTTAATCCGATTATCAAAACTCTTGCACAAGTTTTGAGGTACTGATAATTGTACTTTTTGCTGTGCAAATGATTTCATCAAGATGTCTTTTATCACTCGTTAAGTCACTTTTCTGAATCCAATGAAACATTTATTCATAGTACAGACAAAACATGCATTAGATACTTTAAAAAAGTAATTTTCACTTATTTTTGTTGAATTAAATATGGAATATTTTTTAATCAACACTTATCAGTTGTTGTTTAAGGTTACTTAGAACCAAACGAACTGTCTCAGTTTTCTGAAGATAACTTTTGGATGTCTGTTCATTGGGCGCTTTCACTTACAATCAAGGCCCGAGAAGAAGGCCTTATAAAATCTGATTATTTTGTAAAACATATTATTGAGGTAAAAAACGTAACACTCTACGTTCTTTAACTCGTTTTATCTTTAACTAAAGATTATTTACAGACCTGCATATCTTTTCGTACCTCACAAATTACACTTTGGATTTATAGCTGGATACCAGTGCCACTCGTTTATACTCAGGTAGGTGACTCAAAAATAAACTGCTTTTAATCGAAATATGTACACTTGTCGTATGCCTACATTTATATAATCTTGGTATTTTTATTCTTCTGCTGCTTATATAGTGGCTAATATAAAAATAGTTGAATTTATAAATTTACTGATCACTAGTGAATGAATATTACCTAGACTTATTTTGCTAATTTTATAGGTTGTTTTTATGACAGTTAGGTTGTACTTTTTGGTCGCTGTTGTCAGCAGACAGTACGTTTTAGGATCTTCTGAAAAGGTATTATACTTTTTTAAATTTTACTGTTTTGTAATCATCAAGCCTCAATTCATTCTCAACCAGAAAATTAGCTTAATTGACTGTTTCGTGGTCTTAAGAAGCTGTATTTATTCACAACAGAAAATTATTTTTCACCAAAAAACTTCAATTCTTAATTTTCATTAAAAAAAACTATTGCATTGCAGCTTGACCTTTATGTGCCATTCATAACAGTTTTTCAACTTATTTTCTACGTTGGTTGGTTAAAGGTAATTGGAATTTTTTTGTAGTACATGATAATAATTGTTCGTCTTCTTTTTCTTGATAACAGTGATCTGGTTTTTTTATAAAAATAATCGACTAAATATGGTAAGTATTTGTTCGTGCCAGCAAGTCTTGAACAGGAGCATTGCAGGTTGCTGAAGCGCTACTGAACCCTTTCGGTGATGATGAAGATGATTTTGATGCTGCCTGGTTTTTAGATAGAAACTTAAATGTAGTTTTTTTTTGTTGACATCTTAATAGCTTGGAAACAAATTTTAAATTTTATCTTATTAGTTTTTTATTCTACAGCACTTGTCGCTGAAACCTTGCCAATCCTGATTTCTGATGAGATTTTAAAAACCAACTATTTGGATGTTTTCAAAGGACTAACAGATGTACTTTAGAAGGCGCAAGCAATTTTGGATAACAATGTACATGAACCACCCCCACTTTGCGACGACAAATTTTCCAACTTAAACCAGAAAAAAAGTCCAAGGTTGGTGTGATTAAACTCAAAGACGTGCAAATTCAACTCCTTTAAATGCCTGTTCTATAGGCTTTAAGTGCACCAAAAAAGAACTGCTTTTAGCTATTTAATTTGACTGTCTAAAACGCTGAAAACAGCGACATACAAGACTAATATTATTATTTCAGATAGTAATTTTTTCAGTTACAAAATTATAATATATCAAAATTTAGATCTTCTTCCGACGAGTCTGCTATCGCCACTAATGAGGTGTGTTTAGAAGCTACTTAACATTATTTTTTTTGTAACACTTTTCTGATGATAGCCCAAGTTAGTAAAATGACCTTACCACAAAACGTACCAGTCCCTGGTCAATTTGGTTTCGTAGACAAAGCTTAAAATTTGTGTTAACAGATAGAAACCTGCAAAACTATGCATGTAGAGCGCAGCAACTCGCAAAGTTTGCTAACGTAAGTTTTGTTCCAGCAAAGTTGCTTTTTTGGCAGCAGGGTCGCTAGCAAGAAGCATGTTTTTTAGTCCCATTATCTAAATGATTAAGAGAAGAAATTTGCTAATCACTAGGCTTGTAAAGCTTTCCAACTTTCCATTTGCATGTCTGCTTCTTCTCTGAACGGCGCCTTTGAGAACCTTGGCACATTTAAAAATAAGGCAGTTCTGATCTGAACATTAGTGTTAAAGAAGATGCTCTAACACTTTAAAAATAATCGTTAAGTCCACTCCTGTGCTCTTGCAAGGTAAAAGTGTATAGTAAGCAATTAATCTTGTAGAACAATTAGCATGGCAGCTGCTTCTTCATGTTAGGTTCTTCAACTATCGCTAGGCCAGAACTTACTAACAACACCTTAGCTCTCAAAGAATCGTCGTAACGTATGGTTTAAACGTTTCAGTTAACTTTGGGCTACCATTACTAACACTACAAAAAGAACTCTGAAGACGTATTAAATTCTTTAATAAAACTGCAGTAAAATTAAAATTTTTTTGGTTTTCAGGATAACCGCAGTGTAGGCAATTTGTATTCGGACGACTTATTTTTGAGGAGTGATCCAAAAGAGAAGCAAGAAAATGTAATAATTTATTTTAAACATTTATTTGATTAGTTTTGAAGCTACATACTCACTTTGTTTTAATTTTACCCATAATTTCACATCGGCTATATAGGATCATCTGCCAAAGCAGTAGAGGTGAAAAAAAATTTAACTAATCTTTTCTCCTTACAAGCTATTTCAGACTGTTCGTCCACGAAGTGCCTTATTAACTACAGTAAAGATTGAACCAATAGATAACACTTACGAAAAGCGCTTTTAATTGCCACTTTTGTCTGTATAAATAATCGTGAATAAATTACTGGTGAGGTACAACAATCATTACACACTTGCAGCAATAAAACAAAAAAGATACTTTTAAAATATTTTGTAAAGACATAAAAAATATATTGCTACAACAAAGGCGACAGATCCATTAGCCAATAAATCTTCCTTAGACCTTGTAAATACCATAAAAACTGCTAACACACACTAAAAATACCAGAAACTCATTGGCCGTTGTTGAACACACGTGTTTTCTAGCTATCTTCCGCACAGTCAAATCGAACTGATTATACCAGTGAATATGATTCAGATTCTGACTCTTGGTTTTTGAACCTCATTTATATAAAATGATGTATGTTGCTTCCAGGATTTGATCTGTTATTCATTTTTAACTATATTGGCTAGTGTAAACTGATCAAATTGCCATCTCTTCCTTTGCAGGAGATAGCGAAGTGATGCACCGAAAAAAAACTGAGAATGAAATTAGGTGCAAGTAGAGAATACTGTACAAGTTATGAAAGGTAATAAGCTTCAGTCAGCTACGACTAGTCCTGCAAATTTCCAGGCGTAAAACTTGTTTTTTCGAACTGTTAACCAAAGCTCAAAATGACGTTTGGCAATTAATAAATGCTATGTTCTTTGTGTTGTTCGTCTCTTTGCACTCCTCTGACCCGTTCTTACTTGGCTTGAGAACAGAACAGTCCGCTCTTTTTCGGAACAGTCACCTATTTTATGTAACTATTTCATTACTCTCGTAATAATTAAAATATGAGGAAAAGAGGCACTAAGCACAAGTCCACTGCCCTAATTATCACAACTCTGTCAAAAAGAATAACTTTGACAACGGTAAGGTTGTTGAACACTGGTCACTTCTCTATTTGACACAGTTCTGATAAGAGTAGTAATTCTGAAAAAATCAATACTTCAAAATAATAAATTGAAACAATATACTAATTCCCAAAGGAGAACGGCTGACTTCAGGAAAGCATTGTTTCCTATAAGCTTACAATAAACAGTGATGACAACAATAAGAACGACTTTTATGCTCCAATCTCCACTGCTTGTATAATAATGCAGATGACGAATAACGACTAGCTTGCCCCTAGAAGCTTCACTATCATGTCGCTTACCTTATTCGAGGGTTGGATTTCTTTGACGAGCTTTGACAAACCGTCTTTATCTCGTTTACTGTAAGCCACTCGTTACTGACTTACAGTAATGAGATTTTGAGTTTCTACTCAACGCGTAGAAAACACTTTACCTAAGATTCTCATCTTCATTATTTGTGACTCAAAGTCTTTTGAATCGACTTCAAGAACGATAAGCCAAATTATCTTGCTCAAAATCAAGAAGTTAAATTTTCTAATGGCGAACCTCAGTTCCTGCCAGTATTCCAGTCATTCAGATTTTTTTGAGCACTCTATCAGGGTCTGTCTGCACGAAAAATCCCAAGGGGAACTTAACAAAGTCAAAACACCTGAAAGTTACGCAGAAAACTTCAAATAAAAACTTCTTATAAAATGCAAGAATCACGAATTGAAGCAGACATCAAACTCAACATCAAATATATAATAAAAATAAAATAAAGTAATATCTTTTCTAAAAACTATTAGAAAAAAGTTTTTGAAAGAACAGAAGATTTCTATAAATTGATAATCGATAAGACTACAGTCAAAATCAAAATTACACGATAAAATATAATTTCGATTTTCTGAGAAGAAGATAACTCCAAAGTTTTAAATCCAAGACTCGAGAAACTGATCTTTTTTTTTTCAATACCTTCCACCTCCCTCCTCATGTATTTACAGATATCTTTTTAAACTTAAGTCCTTCAGAAAGACTGATGGCTTTCCAGGAAGTGGTTTTCTGATTGGTAATTATGGTGATGACTACGTGTCCTACCTTTTGTCTTATTCTGGGTGTAACACATCACTTAAATAAGTCTTGAATTTGGCACGTTTGAACTTAATTTAGTAAAACGATTACAAAACGTCAAGTTTTGTAGATTACTTCACTGTACAACGGGGTCTACATTAATCGAACAAACCTTCAACATTCCCTTATTTCTCTATGCGAATGCGATACTCTATTGGACAATACAGTAATGGCTGTAGACGAAGAGCACATTATCAATCCTGAGCTTCAACTGAACGAATAATGCAGAATCAAAATGACCCTAAAGACAAACAAGAAATTAGGAGATGCTTTACGAGAAAGCCTTATAGGATCAATTAATAAAAACCAAAAAAGTACATTCTTGTTGATACAGGAGAGACGACATATAGCCGAAATCGGAATCCTATTTAGTAACTGACTATAAATAATTCTCAACAACCCCCTTCTTACACACACCCTGCCCTTCAGGAGTACCCTTTTAGGAACAGATCAGACTATAATGGGAATAGTTTCTTCTAGCGCGTAGTCGCAACATTGTCTATCAAATTTACAGTGTAGCCGGGCTGTTTTTTTCATTGATGCTAGTGTCTATGAAAGATAGCAAACCCTTCTCGATCTTCCTTCTTCTGGTCGTTTAATGGTTGCCTCAACTTGAGTAATCAAACTTTTATGACAAACTCAATATCAACGCGAGTTGATAGTATATAATTACGCTAAAACTTCAGAGTAGCACCTAGACCAAAACAAAGCTTAAAAAACCATAGATGGGCCTGAAATATGTTCACTTTTGCTGACCAGTCATGCAAAACTGGAGTAGAAATACAAAAAACCCATGCAAACTGTTAGTAAACCATGACGCTTTCATACAGCGCTTGTCGCTTAGCAATCTGGCAACTTTGCCAGACACTGATCGCTTCATTCCACTATCGTATCCTTTGCTTGCTACAATAGTAACATGAACTTCAAGAGAAAGAATAAAACATCGTTTTTTTACACTGTCGGCTCCGTAAAGCTTTGTATTTATGTTGATTTGTGTTTCGACTTAGGCTCTTGTGACCTATAATAAATTGGCCAGCTTGTGTTTACCGACCCACGTCGGTCAGAGATGTTGTTTGTCAACAAAAAAGTCGCGAAATCCTGTCTTGGGGAAGGAGAAGTTTTTTTAGAAAAATTGCTTTGAAGAAGTAGTAACAAAGGAAAAAGAATAAAATCTGCAGCGCTGGTTAGTAAGACTTTTGACTCTCAGAATTAAAGGTAATATTTAAAAAGTGCTTACAAGTTTCGGAGGAAAGTAGTGAATGCAACAACTGCACTGGCAGTCAAGAAACAGTCAAGCTTTATTTCACGTCTTCCTTTACGAATCTTTAATAGATACTAGGTAGACACGATACAAATATAATGCGACACTCAGTAGATAAATAATAAAAGAGTAGGAAAAATTAAAAAACAATACAAGATAGAAAAAGGTAGACAATATTGCCCGGAGGTCGCTGTAAAATTGCTAGCGACCTTGTTGTAAAAGTACTGAAGAGTTGAGGACAGCTATAGACAAAAGACCAACTCAGTGGCTGGGACGAAGAAATCTCCTTTTACAGCTGGATCAAGGTGGTATCTTTGGAGCTCTCAAGCGTATGGTCTTCAAATACCATGGTCGATCTAAAACCTACAGTAAGATAAAATGATTGGTCTCTTGACACAGCAATGAAGAGTGCAAGTAGAATTTAATTAAAGTGTATTCTTTACTCTTTATGTGGAGATCGGAATGAGGCACAAGACCCGTTGTCGAAAAATTTTATTTATGCTCCTCACTTTTCAACTGTATATTTCAATAAAAAAGAAAAAAAAAAAGTTCTATAACTGCAATACATGTATTTGCCTTTTTCTCACTTTCTCCCTTATTTATTCCTCTCTTCCTTTATCATTTTCTTATAAATTCGCAAGTATTGCTCACTGAATGCTTTATGTTTGTGTAAAAACTAAAAACAGAATGCAATTTTTTCATTTGCTTTGAAAATACCAACAAAAAACTCTCAAAGGCTTTTTTGTCAAGCGACGTCAAGAACTATCTGCTAAAACCAATAAAACAGTATTATGCATACAACTTCCAGTGCTCTTATTTCCTCTTTTATTTATTGCACTTCAAAGTTTTAATGGAATATCATATTTATTACTGAATTTTCAGCCAAGTTTAAAACAAGACTTGTTCATTTTTATCCTACGGTTTTATTTTTATGGCTTCAATTCACAGTTCTATTCCTGTTACAAAATTCCACTTGATCTTGAGTAACCCATAACTCTTCATACAGTAGAGTTTGTTCAGACTATTCAAATGTTGTGAAAATGAGTAAAATAAATTATTACCGTTAGGTATTAGCAGCAAAACTACAACTAAAAGAATATATCGCAGGCAGACAATTTCGCAGTAAACTGGAACCATATAGACCAATAAATTCAATACAAAAAAAAGAAAACTCATCTATATGCACCAAACAGACAATTCAAATCATAAATTCGTTCCCTGAATTCGCTAACAGGCTCTTCTGCTCTTCGCACTTGGATCTTTACTTGTCAAGATATCTTTTCATCAAAGCAAAAGTAGTTAAATTCTTAACTGGTCATTCGTCTTATGAAATTTTTTTCAAAAACAGGAGAACAACTTTAAAGCTTCAAAAAGAAGAAATTTCTTTTTAAATTTCGTTGAAACCTTTTATTTTGCTCCCTTCATTCTTCTGACAAGATAAAACAAAATTTTTTACCATTGAATACCTATTCTTTTCTCATCTCAACTAATACATTCATAACGCTGCAGATTTTGGTAATTAAATTGGGAATATCTTCTTTCTTGGATAATAATGCTTGTCACGCGCATAGTCATCAATAATACGTTACCAAACTCAACGAATAGTTATTTATTATAGTCAAGTGATATAGTGAAACCTTCAAAATAATACAAGGAGTTAGTAAATGCAGCATCGGAACAATTGGCCCTCAGTAAACTTGATAGTAGCACTTAGTCGTAAGAGCTGTTTGATTACGATTTCAGTTTCCTTTTACACAGCTTTTTACTGTTTATTTGAAATAAGTACAATTATTTAATTTATCTTTCCAATCTCTTACCAAGTAGCTCACATACTTTTGTAAATTAGATATCGTTTGTAATTTGGGACATAATCATAACCAAGTTATTTTAAGTACAGCTCAGTAAAATTTAGAATATTTTTGAACAATTCGCCAATCAAAAATCATACAGTTAGAAATTGACTTTGTTCATTATTTTTGTCATCTGTTTAATCTGCGGTTTCTTAAATTCCGGTTGATCATGTGTTCGCTCTTTGATTTGTTCTCTACCTTGTAGCGATAACTGACTTAATTTTGTCAGTCACAGCATACTTTCCATGTGCTACCATCCAAACCCAAATAAGTTTGTGCATTCTTAAAGTTTTCTAAATCACCAACACGCCCAGTAGCGCCAACCTGGCCGATCAAGCCACAATGGTGATTGAGCTATTATAATCTCAGACAAAAAAGCCGAAGTTTCATAGTCTAATCGTGTTGGATTGCTCGTCAGTGTATTCTGCGCTCCGCTTGCGACATCAAATGGCGAACACGTAGTTCGACTCAATTTTGCAAAGGTCTCAGTCATGGGTATGGTTCCTTGATGGCACTGCAGTCCTGTTGATGGTTATATACCTTTACAAAAATTCCACCTTGTACTTTCCCCATTCCCTCGATCTCCAACTGGAACATCGACAGCAAAAACACCCAGATATGTCGAGAGATATAAATATAAAAAATTTCTTTTTCTATAATTACAATGCGATAAATAATCTTCATCCAAAATATAGTCTGAAATCTGCTAAGGAATAACTGTTCTGACAATTGGTGTATGCAAAGAGACGCTAAGTCCTGTACCTATTTAAAGTGCTACACTTTTTGCTTCCTGCGATTCTCTGCATTCTTTCTTTATATTTCCTCAAAAATCATAAATTGCGCGTCATTTGATCAAGTTTTGCAAGCTATAACCCAAGTCTGTATCCGGTTTACCTCACAGGCTACACCACATGAGTATTAGATGACCTACAGCGCATCCGAACATTATGCTACCTGATTCTTATTCGCATCTGCACTTTCGGTTTCCTGGGGAAAATATATAATGCATTTAAGCTGTCGTTTTTGTTCAGTCATCTTGAAAGATTTGAAGTCTTTATTTGTAGACTTTGATTTCGGTCTGCGTCTGCATGCTGAAGTTTGTCACCGCTCCGAAGACCTCCGTTCAAGGAACAGTCAGCTACGTGAGACCCTGTGCATTACCACAGTGCTTTCACGCATGATCGCCAAACTTATTAAAGAAAACCGTGGATTTTTAAGCAGCCAATTTCCAAAACATTTTTCTTTTTCCAAACTAAAGCATGAATACCTTATTTTCTTAGTCCAACAAAACACTGCCTGCTCAACGTCAGAAATTATTGAGTCTACTATAAATTGGCGATAAACTAATCCTATGGCTGTAGAGTCTCTTCTTCTTAACAGTGTGACATTTTAAACAGTCCGCTGAAGTCTTGTATCCTGAAAGGAAATAACTTAAACGGTTGGCCAAAAGCCAAGCTGTCGTGTTTTTAAGTTAAAGTTGAACTCCTTACTGCGTGTCTTATTCGGCACTATACCGCAGGTCAAGAGCACTGACTTAGATGTCGGCCTTGTTGACATTATTTTTCAGTAGTTCCGTTGTGACTGTTGCTGGAAATGTATACCATTTTGAGTCTTTGTTTTTCTGACCGTTAGTTCTACAGTCTTGTACTTCTTTTCTGTTGAGGAGGGCTTTAGTGGTAACTAGTGGTGTAAACTTCCGATTATTCAGATCGTCAGCTACACCTGTTTTAGCGTAAAACTTTCACTGGTATACTGTTTAATTGTCAAGACTACATATCTTTGTCAAATTATTTCCCAGTACTTTCTTGTGCTTTGTTACAAAAAATATCTTACTTACGCAACATTGAGTTCGTTTTCTTGTTATCAGTTTTTCATAGTCTCTTACATTTTAAAAATGTGTGTTGCTTTGTTTTTGCTATGAGTGCTGTTACTTTCGCGGTTGTTTCAGTATGAAAAATGGACAACTTTGCTGGTCGCCCATTTTGGAATTACTCATTATGGTCATTCATTCCCAGTTTTTGTCTGCTGCAACTACGGACAGGTGCAAGCATTGTAGATTAATTGTGGATACGTTTAATGCTGTAAGTTATTTTATTGCTTTTCCAAACGACTTTTTTTTGAATTGCATTGTAATTTTTTAGCAACTAGTAACCGAACATGACGAATTGAATGCGAAGTTTTTGTTGTTTGACGAAATATTTTTTAGCAGTATGTAATGTTATTGCTTTTAATAATAATAATTATTTTGAGAAAATTTGTTGAATTTTTTAATTAGTTGACTGATTAGGAAAATAGCTTGAGAGCCTTTTGTCGTGTTTTACTTTTATCGTCTTCAGAATAATTCTATAACAGTTTATTTGTTTAGGGTATGAAGAAGACCGAGAATCAACATTTTGCTGGTGGCAATACTGAGTGGGAGGAGCGTAAGCTAGGAAAATTTGCAAAGAGGTTTGGAACTGTTGAATGCTCGTTTCCTGCCAGTTTACCTGTTAATATAGATCAGGGATAATGGTTTAATTTTTGTAGTGAAACGAGATTGGTGGAGATTTTGGAAAGTCTCTGTAAGCTAAATGTCTTGAACAATAGAGAAGGATATTCTGGCGTGAAAGACATTGAATTCAAGGTACTAATTTTCTGTGTTTATGAGTTTTTCTACAATAAGAAGGTTAGTTCCGAGTTCATTTGTTGTTTTGAGGTTTTTTGATAAAAGTGATATGAAGGAGTTTTCGGGGTTTTGACGGAAATGAGGTAGGAATTTCTTTTCAACAGATTTTAAGTGATACGAAGAGTATTTGTTATAGAACTTCATTGTTTTCAACTTGTTGGAAAAGTGTAAGTACCTATTGTTTTTTATAATAGAACTTAAGTACTTTTTTTTTAAAACCATTAGGATTTATAATAGAAAACTCTTACTTTCTTTAAGTCAGATTTTAAATGCTTTAAAATACAGTTACTTTGACTGATCATATTTTTGCAGTTTTTATTTTAAAATTCTTTTGGATTTCTAAAAATTGTTCTTCAGAAAAATTTGTTGTTTTTTTGTTACTGCAAAAACATTTTGCGTCACAGTTTGCAAAGTGCTTTTAATGCAACTGTAGCAGTAATAAGATTGTTTAGTTAGAATGATTTGTTAAATTAGTTACAGTTTAATAAAATAGGGTTTGGAAATTTTTTATACCAATTTTTTGGAGTCATTTTGTTATGCGACTTTTTACAAAGCAGGAACTTTTGTTACATTTTTTTTTTTTTTTTGTGTGTGTGTATGTTTGTGTTTTACCTTATGAGACACCCAATAAGTGATGAAAGATCAGTATTTTTTGCAAGCTAATTTGAATTCGAAGGACTTTTTTTTTGTAACGGGAAGGGAAGGAGAAAAATTTATGATTGAGGTCTTTCAATTGCAAAAATAAAATGAAAGCGTCTGGAGAGTTCAGTCTCGTAGAATGAAGTTATGCGCGGTGACTGCGAAAGAAATAGGTGATAGAAGAGTTTAAGATTGGCTGAGTTTTCAAGGGTGGTTTTAGGCTATGTTTTCACAGATTCAGAGAGTTTTTTGAGAACCATTGTTGCCTCTTGCTTACTTTTGTTGACACTCTTCTTTTTACCAGTTGGTCGAGAAGCATGGAGTAGCAAACTTCCAAAAGTACTTTGTCTCTAATAGCACATGGAAAACCTATTGGGAGTGAAGAAAAAACGCAGTTCTTGACTGCATGAGTGTTTTTGCTGGGATTGGTTTTTAATAGATTATTTAGTTACTATAATGTAAATCTTGATCATGCATGGTGCAGTATAGATTTTATTGCAAAATGATATCCTGCCATTTTTTGCTTTTGTTGTTAGGAGTTGAAGTTCATATTAAAATAAGAAGAGTGAGTTTTATGCGATTTGTGACTTCCACTTCTTTAGTGTCAAGAACTGGCAGAAGAACACGAAGAAACCCTTGAAAATTGGTATTTTCATAAACAAAATTCGGACCCTGACTTGCTTCACTGGCTTTGTTTCGACAGACTTGAACTGTGTTGTCTTCCTGGACATTTTGGTAAAGATTGTAAGGCGTGTCCGGGAGTTGATCGTAACTTTACTGCTTGTTCAGGTCACGGAGAATGCGATGTTCGTATTTTTTTGACTATTTATTTTTGTCAGGATTTCAGTCACTGTTTATTCACTACCGTTTAGGGGGATGGGTCTCGTGAGGGTACCGGAAAATGTCAGTGCAACCGAGGTTACGTAGGTTTTATGTGTAGTAACTGTGATGCTGATTATTATCCTGTTGCAGGAAGTACACACGTCTTCCAGTGTAAAGGTAATCATTGTAAAAATTCTCCAATTCGACTTTTTGGTTTTGAAAATATATCTAAGAGTGATAAATTGAGACAAACTGTTTATTAGAATGCCACCGGTCTTGTAGAGGAGGCTGTGTATCAGAAGGCCCTAAAGGTTGTAAGGAGTGTCGGAAGGGATGGATTTCTGATGAAGAAAAAGGATGTGTAGGTTGGTGTACTTTTTGTGGTTAACTTTTTTTGTCTAAATTTTTTAAAATTTGTAATGGCTTGTTTTTGAAGTAATGCATTTGAAATTTTGCTTGATTCAGATGTCGACGAATGTTTGGAAGGCAATAAGTGCCTTGGAGAACAAGAAGTTTGCGTTAATAATGAAGGGTCCTATTCGTGTGAGTGTAAAGAAGGGTATGCGAGGGACCATAAAGAGAAAGTGTGTAAAATAGATGTTAACGGTATGCTTTTATTAGTTCATCTGTTGCTCTTGGGCTTTATTATAGAAAGTCGTAAATTTTTCGTAATGTAGCTGCTTATGAACGTAGTAGTTTAGACGTAGGTGTTTTTGCTTAAAAACTTACGGGGTATTCTCTTACAGAGTTTCTCATGACACATTTTTGTAGTACTTCTCCCACTGTAGGTAACTATTCAAAAGAACTCTCTAGTTTTGCTGCGTCAATTTTTTGTTGAGCAGGAGACTTAATTATTTCAAGAAAGAACTTCCCTTTAATTGCACTTTTGTTTTATGGGTTTCTTACTCATCTCACTTAATATTCCTGCCGTCACTTCACAATTTTATAATTGTTTATATGTTTTTGAAACTTTCTTTTAGTTTGCCAAATTCTTCTTGTGATACTTTTATTGCAGATATTATTCCTCCATCTTCTTATACATAGCTTAAGCTAGATGTTTTTTTTTCCTTGGCTGAGGTGAACTTGGGATTTACCTACGTGGTGGCATAGGAGGAAGCTTTTTTTCACCCACTGTTTCATTTGCGCAGACATTTCTGCAGTATCGCTTTTTTAATATGGTCATATCTTTTATTGGTAGTGAATGTTGTTCTGTTATGGGATTATCGAGTTTAGGGAACAGCTTAAAACCTTTTAATCGTTTTGTTACAAGATTTTTTGCTCTGTCAGCTACAATTTTAACATATAAGACAATTTCTTTATGCAATTAAAAAATCTTTCCAAATGAATATTCTTTCTTATATTTTTGAACAAAATGCGGTACGATTTATCCTCTACTGAAATTAAGGCATAAATATTTTTGTAGCATATTTACAGTAGGCTATAGCAGTTCGATTTTCAGCTGCAGCAAACGACCCATGGATTCGTCCTGACATCTTTCTTCGTTCTGTTTCCTTCACGGCTCTTTTTGTTTTAATATCACTGGTCGTTTGGTTACGATCTATTTCTTTAGCTGTATTTGCTGGTTTCTGTCTTTGTTTAATACTTTATATAGAATTATGGCTTGATACCGATTCTTTCTTTGATGCTTTGCGTTGAACTTGTTTATTCACGAACTTCTTGTTTCAGCAAGATGACTTAACTTTACAATCAAAAAGTTTGCTGTTGTCATTGTTAGCTGAATATTGGTCTTAATTCAGATGCTTTATATTTTACAGTTTGCATAGGCAGTTCGTCTGCATAGTTTTTCTTTAACTCGCAGTGACTTACAGGAAAGTTCATTTCTAATTTGGTGCAAAGTTTTTTTTTTTTTTTTTGCGTAGAGGTCGAGGAGATACAGTAGCGTCCTAGGACGGCCACAGAAAAAAATGTTAGATTTAGTTCAGTACAAGGCCTTTTAATCTAAGATGCTATTTTTGCGGCATTCTGTCCGCTGAATTCGCAGCTGCATGCCCAACACTGAATTTTATCAAATTTCGTTGCTCTCGCAGAATTATTTTAGAAATGCTGTTGCGCGGCTGATTCCTCCTTTTACAATCTCTGCTACTTTTCTTTGTTAGAGTAACCTATGATTCCGACATTTTTTTTTATTCTCAGTAACCTATGATTGATTAATTTTACGAAGTCTGTGTATGACTTTGTAGAGTGAGTGGGCCCATTTTTACTAGAGGTTATGTAGGCCGAGAAGTAGGTTTGTTCTTCGTACGGTAAGCATATTTTTTTCTTTCACCATTCAATTTAGGTTGAATTTTATTTGTTTTTTTTCTACTCTTTAAACTGCAAACTATACAAATCATACTTTCCGCCTTCCAGTTATTCCTTCTGTCCTTCCTTATATTTTAGTATTATTTTTGAAGTTTCCCTGCCGTATAAGATCGTGTATTTTTTCTCTTTCGGTTTATGAATGTTTTACTTAACCACTAAACCAACCAATTTAGGTTTTTCTAAATCTTCTCGAACTTCTTATCACTTGAGATACGGCAACAAAAAGAACAACTGTCAGCCATAGGCATCTGCCAAATTACCCCGCCGACTAGGCCGAAATAAAAAATGAAATATTTTCACATTTTTTTCACAATCTCAGCGAAAGAAGAGTTGAAAAGTTTAAAATTAGAAAAAAATTTGAAACCTTGATAGACAGCTCGTGATTGGGAGCATATCTTTCACACGCGTGACCTAGATACTTTTTCCACTTTCACGCTGATTGATTAAGTTAAATTTTTATTGTTTAAAGGGGATGAGCTGGAAATGCTGAATTTTCTTTGAAACAGGCATTTTTGCATTCAGAAGTTTACATACCAAATTAGAATTGGACATGCGTATAGTTCATTCAATTGCACGTGAATTTCGTTGTAGGTCGTAGTGCTATGTATTCTAGATTTGATAATGCCAACAGTTTGATAATTGTATCCTTCTTAATCTGCAATTTATTTATTTGTATTGGTTTGAATTGCTGAATTGTTTATTTTTTCACTAGGTGCTGTCGTTTTTTTTAAGTAAGTTAATAGCTTTGAATTAGTGGGCTTTTTTCGTCATAGGATCAGCTAACAGAGGAATTAGTTTCAGAAGTAAATAACTCATCAGTAACAAACGACGAAACTGTTACTGATGCGAATGACGAAAAATTGGAATTTAACAATGAGACCATTTCTGCTGAAATCTCGAGGTCTTCATCAGAAGTCGAAAAGGTTGAACTCTGACAGAGAAAATAATTAATTTATTTGGTTGAAGTTGCTAAGCAAATATTTTTTTGTTTTGATGTTTCATTGCAGCTGTTTGTAAAATAGTGATTTCTTCGGTGCAATTAATCTAGTAATTACCGAGTTCATTCTCGGTGACACTGGATATTCGTTTAGATGTGTTACTTTTTTACTGTTCGATTATGCATTGTTTTAGTAATTTTTTAAATCTTATTCATATTGTGATATCTTTGCTAGTGTCTTAAAACACTAACAGGTGTAAAGATTTATTGAAGTTGTTACTGTTAAGGCATTTGTTGTTTTTTGTTCAGAATGCTTCATATGTTATAGTAGTAAGTTTTGAAGGGCATATGCTCCTGCATTGCACAGTTGTTACGGTTGGCACTTTTAGAGACGTCAGCTTTTTAAATGCATATTTATTGCAGGCACTGTTTCAATGCAACGTTGATATCTAAGTTGGTGATAAAAACTACTCAAATGTTGCATACCTTTATTCAAATCTCAGTTGAAATCTGTTAAACGTTTTGATTTATTAGGTTTCATTTTCCTTAAAGAATTTTTCTGTTTGTTTGTTTGTTTTTTTTCTCAGTTGCATCTTTGAAGTTTATTGTAACTTGTTCAAGGTCTGCTGGGTTAAACACGTCTGGTGTTCTGTTTAAAAAACACTAATAAAAATTGTTTTTTAGAATTAACTTGCTGCATTTATGTGACTTCTTAGGCAAATTTCCAGAAGTTTTATGATCGTTTAAAAACGACGAGGATAGTAAAATGTTTTATGAGGTTTACTTTGCTCTGCACTGAGACTGAGTTGTACAGCGGCAGCAGTACACACTTATGGCTTTCAATTCGCGCCGGGTAAAGGTTAGGTGATTTGTTGTTTTGCGGGTTTACAACTCTCTCATCTGCACTGTTGTTTGCTGTAGCAGACTACCGTGGCGTGTTACTTTCGGAAAGGGGAAGTTTTTTGTTCTTGTGCGCTTTTTTCTTATGATGTTTTTTAAAATACTCGGGATATGCAGGATGGGTTGAGAATGACTGAAGTTAAACAGGCTCTTTTGAGGCCCCTCCTCATCT